GAGTCTGGCCCTCGCGCGGATGCGCGCGCGTGCTGCCTCCCACAGGGCTCCAAGCTGGAGTTCAGTGTTCATCGTGGAGACGTCGTGCCTGAAGCGGGCCCACTCGCTGAAGAAAAGTGAGCAGGACTCTGGCTGTTGGAGCGCGGGGTCGGCGCAGACCCTGCCTGAATTTGGGAGATACTCGGTCGTCCACTGTTTCCAGAAACCAGTAAAGTAGCCACCCGGCTAGACGCGCTGGTCGGTCACGGTGTCGCGAAGATCGCATGGGCCTTCGCCCTGGGAGCTCCTGGAGTTGCGCTGGTCAGGGGCTGCGTCAGACTGGGCGTTGGCGCGCGAGGGCCAAAGAACGGACCGAGGGGTGGGGGGGTCACCGTGCTCGGCGGAGCGCGCCAGCGCGGGCCGGCTCCAGCGCCCATCGGCTTCCCAGCTGGGCCGCCCTGCCCATTCCGCCCAGTGGCTGCCACAAGGGCCACTGCGGCCGGTCTCGCCGTGACGGCGCGGGCGGAGCTCGCACCAGCCCCCGTTCCAACTGCGCCCGTCTCTCGCCCCCGCGGCCGGGCGGGCCCCAGGTATGCCGGGGGGGCGCGGGGCACTCCGCTCAGGCAGTGCGAGGTTCCTGTCGTCGCGCCCAGCGAGCGCGGGGGAGGCGCGAGGGTCGGCGGCGGGCGAAGCGGGGGTGCGCGGCTTGTCTTCGTGCTCGGGGCTACCCGAGGAGTGGGTGATCACCGCTGGCTTAGAACTCGGCGACGGAAACAGAGCAACTGGAGCTCCTCTGCGCCCCCTCGGCGCGGCGGGCGGTCGCTGTTGGGGGCCGCGCAGGCGCCGCCCACGCGCCCCGCGGCGCCGTCGCTGCTTGAGCCGGGGGGGGGGGGGGGGGGCCTGGGGCAGCGGGGCGGGCGCGTGGAGCGGCCAGACTGGGGCTGGCCACCCGCGGGCGGGCGCCGTCAGGGGAATGCGAGATAGCCCGACGGTGGCTCGGCGAAGGGTTGGAACTCAGCAGGGGGGCCGGCTGCCTCAGGGAGTTGCCCGCCAGGGCTGGTCCGCCCATCGCCCCCGCTGCGCTTCCTGCTGGAAGGAGGGCCGATCTGCTTGCGCAGCTCCTGGGCGTCGCGCATGGGGGCCTCCTGAGCTAGTTGCTGTAGGGTCCCAAGGGTGAGCTTGTCTGAACTGACCTGTGCAAGGAAGGCAACGGGGGTGCCCGGAGTGCGTCGCAGGGGTGGCGGGCCACGCGGGCGCCACTTGTTGGGGCGCAGGAGCCAGCTGTCCAGCACGGCGGGGTTCGCAGATAGCGCGCAGAGCTTCGCCGCCGCCCGGGCGGCGGATAGCCGCTTACCCTGCCAGTGGATGCTCTTGGGGGGGGAGGAGGGCGCCACCCGTTCGCCATAGACCATCCTCAGAAAGGGTCGGAGCTGAAGCGGTTCCCAGCTTCCGGGGTCGTCGGGCCGTACCACGTTAGTGCAGTCCCGCCATCGCGCGTCCAGGAGTGGGTGCAGGTCACGTATAAAGTCGATTATCCGAACCTCGATGGGCCTGGTATCCGGGTCGCCAATTCCCCCCCCCCCTCCGCGGCTTACAAGAGGTCGAGGTCAATGTTCCTCTGCGCAGGCCCTTGGGGGAGGTTCGCTTCGGGCAGCGGGCGGAGCACCTCGTCGGCTTCGCTGGTCATGGTGGGATGGGCGTCTGGCTCGAGGGCAGAACTGTCGGGGGGGCCTTCGCCCAAGCTGAGCGGATCGGATTTGGCGACGGAGGCCCGGTCGGGCGCGGGCTCGTCAGTTAGGGGGCGCTCGCCGGGGGCGGGCGGCGCGGCCCGCAGCTTGTCGGCGGGGGCGGGGGGGTAGATTAGGTGCGAGTTCAGGTCGAGTAGCTGATTGACTGCGCTGGGCTTGACGCGCCACGCGTGTGCGAGGCATGGGCGGCGCATCCAGGTGGCGCTCCAGTTGCGGCTAGTCCAGGCAACGGACCGATCCGCCCAAGCCAGGGGGCCCCCCGCCTCTGCTGACCCAAACCCTGCGTCAGCCTCCTATGCGAAGCAGCCGAGTGCAGGCGCGCCTGCTTCCCAGGACAGAGGGGGGGCATTGGGGGGACAACCGTCGCGCGTCGCCGTGTAGCGCTTGGTCTCGATGGCCGTATGCCCGAACCTGTTGTCGTCGATCCGAGTGGGCGGAATAGCGGCGCCGGCGTGCTCGGGGACGCGGGGGCCCCCCGGGGCCAGAAGGAAGTCGCCCAAAGCGCAGAGCCATGTGCAGCAGGCGCGTAGTCGCGAGATACGACCTGATGTTGTCGCCCCACCAAGTACCCTCGAAGTGATGAAAGTGGGCCTTGTAGCAGGCGTCGCGTCTGTACCGTGCCGCTTTCCGATCAGCGCTGAAGCGAGCGTCGCCCGGTGCGAGGTAGGGCGGGATCTTGCGCGCGCTGGGGGGCGGAGCCGGTGGCGGGGTCCTGTCCGAAGGGGTGAGGCCGAAAGAGAATCCACCGCAGAGGAAGGTGACATCGGAAGGGGCAGTCCTTTGGTCCAGGGGCGCACTCCTTGCCTGTGAGCTCGTGGTGGAGAGAGCAGATGCTGCACTCGGTGTGTGAGAGGGTGCAAATGTTGGCAGGCCTCGCGATCCTCTCCAGGACCAGCATCGGTCGGGGCCTTGAGCTTGAAGAGGAAGGTTCCCATGGCCGCGTGAATGGTCGGACAGCCGGTAGCCTTTACGGCTGGGTGGTGGTGGGCGGTGGTGACCAGCCTGGCCGCCGTGCCAATCAGCTTCTCCAACTTCCCGCGTAGCTCGCGTAGGTCGGACAGCTGAAGCCCCAGGAAGAAACCAATTGCGTCCAGAAGTGGTGGTGACCGTCCTGCCACGGGCAGCAGCCCCCGTGGGAATACTTTTTGGTCAACAGGCTCGCGAGGCGGGTCCAAAGCCGTCCCAACACCAGTCGGGCCGCGACTAGGCAGCAGGAAAAGAAAGGCAAGCGAAGCGACGAGCGGGCAGCCACTCAGAAAGCCAAAACCGATACTTCCAAACCCGGCGGCGTTGGAAATCCCGGTGGCGACCAGCAAATAAGCGCAGACATAATGGCGCGGCGGCGCGACCATAAACACGCAGAGGTCGATCGTTCGGTGTGAATCAGGCAAACGGCACCGTCGCAGACGAACTAGACCGACGGGCACACCCAGACGACATCCGTGAAGTAGGCGACACACATGCCAACACATCGTGTCGGCGCAAGAGTAAATCCCGTGGGAATACCTTTTTGTCGCGGCCGCGCAGCACAGGGCAGGCGGTGAAAGGGGGTCCGGGGCGACGGGCCAGCCTGATTAGCTACCACGCGCAGCGCAAGCCGGCCGGGCCAGCCCTCAGAAGCGGCAGCTGGAAGGCAGCGGCGGCAGGGGGCTGACTTGCTGAACTGCAACGCCCAGGAAACTCATGCATTATGCACACCTGTGGCAAAGTGCCTGGGGATTCCGAACTGGACGCCGCGGCGCCAGTCCACCACGGTGTAGGTGCCATGCCGCGTCTGAGAGTGACCTGCAGGCACTATCCGCCAACCACTGTAGCAAGTGAAGGCCAGGTAAAAACTGGTCATGTCGCCAGAGGGCGCCAATGGCCAGGGCCGTGTCGACGGCATGGACCTGCCTGGTAGGCTGGGATGGGGCGAGGATGGAAGCACAGCGTCTGCAGGAAGGCTGGACCACTCCGCGACGCCACAAGAGTATCCTGTGGTAGACGCCAGTCCTGAGCAACAAACAGGATGGACCCAGCCCGGAAGGCGACTGCACCTGAAGGCCCGGCCCAGGGTCACGACGTGGGCGCCGTAGAGAACCGCGTACTGCGCGGACAGCAAGCCAGACTGACGGGAATGGACATCGCCAGTGCGCCCCGTGGGGATACTTTTTTGGCCAGCGGCTCCGAGGCAACGGGCAGGGAGCGGTAGCGGCGTCCGGGCCACGGTACGGGGCTAATTGCAAGACAATTCGCCGCCAGCCAAAGTCGGCGGTCAGACAGCTCGCACCTGCACGCGCACTGAACAAAATGACCAGAATTCGAGAGGCAGACGCACTTAGGCGCAGCAGCCCTAACCACAGTGGGCAGGCCGCCGTGCCCGGTGAAAGTGAGGATGCCCCGAAGTGAGTCGCCAATGCGGCGCCAGACTTCCGCGGCCGACCTGCACAAGCCGAACGGCTGAGCGGTCGGAACCAGAAAACAGTGCTACCCGTGGGGATACATTTTTGGTCGGCGGCTCCCAGGCGAAGGTCAAGGAGCGGGGCAACGTTCGGGGCGCGGAGCGAAGATAATTGGCCGCAGTCACCCGTGGGAATACGCGGAGCGTTAAGAATTCATCCGCCTTCCTTCTACGCTTCTACGCACTGGCACGGTGGTGGCGTTTGCCGCAGGCAGCTGGATAATCAACGCGTGCATTTACTGAACAAGCTGTGGTCAGAATTGCAGCTCTCACTCGAAACACGTGGAGAAAACCGCAGCATGACCCCCGCAGACAGACCCGCTCTGCCGCTGTCCACCGTTCCGCCAAGCAGGGGAGCCATGGGAAAGCATGTCAAGATTATGATGCGCTGAGTACCGAAATATAGAAGTGCGGGAGACAAGCCGCTAGCCGCTCTGGCTAGCTAGCAGACTAGGCCAGTTCCACCACTTCCCTGCTCTTGCGAGGCACCGCTGAGCCAAACCGACCGTTCGCCTCTTCACGGAATTGTCAGACTTCCGTGAGGAGGGCGGGTGCGCAAGCACAAGCCTTGCAGCGGCGGCCGGAGACACGGACGACGGGCGCCCAGCGCGGCCGCGGCAGATCTCGAGGGCCGAGGCCGACGAAGGATATGCCGAGGCCCTCGCAAGAGCTCGCCGAAACCGAGGGGAAGACGAGGGAGGCGCGCGACGAGGGGAGGAAGAGCTCCAGCGTGAGCGGACGGGAGGGCCACGGCACCGAGGGCGAGGGCAGCGGCCCCTGGCAAGCGCAAGCAGGAAGGCCCTGGCCAGAGGCAGCGGGGCCCAGCCCCGCGCCTGGGCCGCACTGATGGTGTCCTCCGCCGTCGCGAAGTTGACGAAAGCGGCTCGCCCAGGCTGTCCAGGCTTCATCGGCAGGAGGTGGGAGCCCGTGACCTCTGGCGGGCCGACACGGGGGCCGACGGCGTGCTTCTGGGGGGGGGGAGGGGGGCAATCCCACGACGTCCGGCAGTGCGACGTCCTGCAGGGGGCCAGGGCAGAGAGAGAGATCTCCCGCTTCGTCACCACGTCCGCATGTTTCGATGTTGTCTCCGTTAGCTCGCGCGCGTGCCGTTCGCATCACGAGCCAAGGGGAAAGAGACCGCGAAGCTGATCCGCAACCCCAATCGGGAGGGGTGAAGGCCGATGCTGCATTGAAGCAGCGCTGCACCGCCCAGGCCGAAGCAGCGAACCACAAACACTGCTGCAGCACAACACAAGCTGGAACGGCAACTGCACGCGACGTCTGGCAGTCGTCAACGACAGCAGGGAGGAGGGGAAAGAACAATGAGGGGGCCCACAGGTCGTGCATGCGTAGACGACCCCAGACTTCACTGGAGGCACCCGCAAAACTGCCCCTCACGAGCACGAGAAGACGAGCGAGCACCTGGCCCGTGGGCGGGGGGCAGAGAGAGAGAGAGGCGAAGGGGAGGGAAGGAGTTTAGGGAATGGTCAGAGGGAGTGTATACCTACCTATCTACCTACCTGCCTGCCTGTCTGCCTGCCTGCATACACACATACATACGTACACACATACAGTCATTCATTCATATATTCATACATCCATCCATCCATCCATCCATCCATCCATACATACATACATACATACACACACATACATACATACATACCTACATACATACATACATACATACATACATATATTCATACATCCATACATGCATTCAAGCATACATAAACGTGTACATATATCCATGCATACACACGTGCATACCTACACACGTCCATGAATACGCACATACACATACATGCATACATACACGTATACTTATATGCATGTGTACGTATGTATACATGCATATATCCACGCCCAGATATGCATGCATTCATCGATGCAGGCATTCATACATACACATACACACATATATGCATGCATGTATGCATGCATAAACGCATACACTCAATCCGACATGCATACATAGACTCGTGTGTGTATGTATGCCTGAGTGTATGTGTATGCATGTATGCTTCTGTATGTGTAGGTAACAATGCACGTATGTATGTACGTATGGGTGCCTGCATACATGTATGTATGTATGAATAGATGTACGCATGTATGTATGTATGTATGTATGCATGCATGCATGTACGTACGTATGTATGTATGTATGTATGTATGTATGTATGTATGTATGTATGTATGTATGTATGCTCGTGTGTATGTATATATGTATGTGTGCATGTATGCAGGTTTGTGTATACATATATATATATATATATAACCGTTCATCCAATTACATGTATAATGTAAACGTTATAACGCATATATCACACACCATGCCCGGAGGGTGCGACTTGGAGTGCCCTCAGGTATCTCCGACTTATGTATGTATATCTATGTATATATATATATATATATATATATATATACACACATGGGTACTGGAATTTACAATTGGGAGCCCACAGCAACATTTCCGAATATTCTTGGGCTCTTGAGCACTCCTGGGGTCGATCGCGTGACCGATCCAGAAGCAAAGGGCCCCCCAAACAGGCCAAGAGGGCCCCAAGCCCAAACAGGCCCCCAACACGGTCCAAGATGGCCCCCAGTCGGCCAAAAACCGTTCCAAGACGCCCAAGATGGCCCACAGACGGCCTAAGAGGCCCCCAAGGCGCTCCACGATAGCTCCAAGACGCCCCCCAAGAGGGCCACGAGATACCAAAATCATTGACTGAAGAATTTGTATGTTATCGCCAATCGGGCTGCCGACGTTATAAGACGGCCCAGGAAGCCTACAAGATTGCACCAGGACGGCCCAATCGGCCCCCAACAGTTGGTGCGAATGTTTCCTACAATTTGGATTCCCAGGAGGGGGCGGGCACAGAATTGGACCATGACGATCGCAGTCGAGGCACTCGTCAGAAAACCCGCACATGTGGCAGGCACTGGCGACGCCCCCGCACTCTCCTGCGCCTTCTCTTGGTTTTGGCGCGTCTGGCAGGAAATTTGTTCCAGGGCGCCGCCGACAGGCCCTGGCAGGGTCCAGCCCGGAGCAAAGCGAGGCCGCGACACGCTGAGCAAGGAACAAAAATCCATCGCAATGCCGTTCCCCGCTGTTTCCGATTACGGGGGGTGCTCGGGCCCAAGCGGCCCTCTTATAATGCTAATTAAGGGCCGCCCCTCCCCCCGATCCAGGGCGGAGCGGCGCGAATGGGCTGTGGACTACATTGAATTCGTATTATACTCAGAGGGGGGCTGGCGAGCCCGCCCTCGTCGATCCTTGTCGTTTTGTAGGATCCGGCGTCCGAAGGCAGTGGTTCCGCCTCGACTCCACGAGCGCTCCGACATTTCAATTTTTACGACACCCTTTGAATTCACAGCATTCCTGCTTGGTTTCGCGATGACTCCGACGTTGCAAATCAAAGAAACCCTATGAGCTCACAACGCTGCGATTTGGTTCCGAGATGGCTCCGACGCTGCAGGCCAGCTGCAGGAGGTCACGATGCACGATACTGCTGCGTCGTGCGGGAAAAATTGACCAAGACACTCCCCAAGCGGTGCTGGAAGAAGGCCAGCAGGCTGTGCGGGCTAGGTGCGCCTGTTGCCTGTTGCAACACACGCTCCAGTTGGTATAGTTCCTGGCGTCGGATTCCAATGTGAGGAATGATTGAAAAACGCGGGGTGACCCCAGCCCGAAAACCACCCTGTTATGTTTCGGAACATGTGAAGTACCCTGCCCACGTGCATGAACTGACCCGAACTGTTGGCCCAAACGATTACGGACAACGGCAGCACAATACGCACCATTTGTCGTGAAAGCTACATGGGATGCGCGCACGCTGTGCGCAGGGCGAAGAGCGAGGCCCCAGGCTCGAACACGAGGGGCTGGAGAATGGCGGAAGCGGGGGGTCAGAAGTTAACTCGGCAGCAACAGTGGACGATGGGAAGGAGGAAGAGGACGAGGAGGAGGGAAGCGGGATGAGAAAAGAAGGCTCCGATCTTTGTTCAGCGGCGTGCAGATAAAGAGCGCAGCCCGCACCATGTCGCCCTGGCGCCTCGAAGGGTCAGCTGGTCATAAGTGGTGCAAGAAACGGGTGCGGACCAGCTCGCCCCCAGCCTCTCCGCCTCCGTCCTGCACCTCTCAGTGTATGGTGCAAGCACCCGCAGGCGCGCCGAGAAGTAGGCGGGCGGCCCACGGGAAAGGAAGCCTCGGCCAGAGTCGAGTCATCAGGAGGCTCTCGACCTTCGTGGCTCTGGAGACGCGTCCTTGCGCCCGGCGTCGACAATGACCCAGTGGTGCAAAGTCTGGCCATGGCAGGCCGTGGACGTCAGGACCTCGGCGTAGGAGATGACAGAGCCAGTGCGCGTGACGTTAGTTATGCTTGCGGAAGACGAAAAGGGCTCGAGTTCTGCGCTGATGTCCGCGTAAGACGTCTTTGCGCTGGCCCGACCAGCAGCACTCGAAAGTCGAAGCAGCTCCACACTTCGCAACCACCAAGGGATGGCAAAGTCGAACCTAAGCCCGCGAATGATAGCAATCCGCCGGCTCACCCAGCAGCCCTCGAAACTACCAGCCGTCGCTCGCAGCCCCCAAGGGGTGGCGAAGTCGTGGATTCGCGTACGACCCAGCGATGCTGGCCCTCCCAGCAACCCTCGAAACTAGCGACGGTTTCACACTTCGCAGCCCCCCCCCCAAAGGGATGGCGAGGTATAATCTGAATCCGCGCAGGCCCCCAGCATACGGCCCCCCCAGCGGCCGTCGAACGTGGTGACGGTTTCACACTTCGCAGCCCCCCAGGGATGGCGAGGTCAGATCTGAATCCGCGTAGTCCCCGACGACGCCGTCCTCCTCAGAAACCCTTGAAAATGATTGCAGTTTCACTCTTCGCAGCCCTCAGGGATGCAAGGTCTAATCTGAATCCGCGCAGGCCCCCGACCATGCTGCCCCCCGCCAGCAGCCCTCGAAAGTGGCGACAGTTTCACACCTCGCAACCCCACAGGGATGGCGAGGCCTGATCTGAGTCCGTGTAGCCCTCGACTATGCTGGCCCCCAGCAACACTCGAACATTTGTGACAATTTCAGACTTCGCAGCCCCCCACAAGGATGGCGAGGTCTAATCTGAATCCGCGCAGTTCCCGACTATGCTGGCCTCCCAACAACCCTCGAAAGTGGCGACGGTTTCGCAGTTCGCAGCCCCCAAGGATGGCGAGGTCAGGTAGGACGGCGAGGTATGAGACAGGCTGGCAGGCTGGCAGGCACATAGGAAACAAGTAAGAGGCATGACAGAGGAGGAGGAGGAGGAGGAGGAGGAGGAGGAGGGAGGAGAGGAGGAGGCGGTAGGAGAAGGTAGCGACCCGAGTGCTGTATTCGAAACGAGAACCCAACGCACGAGGGCTAGGGAAAGTACACCATATTCCCGCTCCCGAAACCACAAGCCCTGTACATTCAAACAGTTTCGCGCTCCCGAGGCAAGAATTCATAGTGAATTACGGCGTGCTCGCGTCCGAGGTCACAATCCCTGAAAAATACCAAGCGCTCGCGCTCCCAAAGCCACAACTCAACGCAAATTGCTACATGTTCGCGCTTCCGAGGCCATAACCCAGCGTACCACACAACAACGTCGCGCTCCAGGAACCAGTCCCTGATTAATTACCTCACTGTCGCGTTCTCGGGGCCACAAACCATAGAACGTTACAACACACTCGCGCTCTCGAGGCCGCAATCCTTTGAAAATTACGTCGCGCTCGGGCTACAACTGGCTGCAAATTGCTACAAACTTGTGTGCTCCCGAGGCTGTAATCCGTCGTTCAATCGTTGCGCCGCTCTCGCGTTCCCGACGCCACAGCCCCTCGGCTCTGCCTTTTTTGTTGTTGCTTCTTTCTTCTCCCCCGCTGGGGGCTCCCTCCGGCCTCCGCGGACGCGCGCCGCCTCGCGGCCGCCGTGGCCGGCCCCCCGCGTGCGCCGCTCCGCGGCGCTCCCGCGGAGAGCGCCGCCTCGATGCAGCGACGCCGACGGCGCTCGCGGGGTGGGCGGCACCCCCGCGCACGGCAGCGCCGCGCCGGGCCGCGTCGGCCCCCAGCGGAGCGGCGGGACGGCCGTGACTCCCTGGCGGGGTGGGCTCCCGAGGCGCGCGGCCTCCTGCGGTGGCGCCGCTCGCCCGCGGGCGGTGGCGGTGGACCTGCGCCTCGGGCGACCGCGCGGGTGGTCCTTCGCCTCCGCCACCGGGCTCCGCCTGCTCGCCCGCTGCCTCCGCCCTCCGCTGGAGAGAGAGAGAGAGAGAGAGAGAGAGCGAGCGAGCGACCGGCTGTGCTCGTTCCTTCTTCTGTTCTCGCCCTCCGCCTCCGCCCTCTGTGCACGGCGGACGCGCCCTCGAGGCCCTCTCGGCCGACCGCAGCCCCACCGTGCCGTGCAGGCAAGGGCGCGGCGGCGTTGGACAGGTGCTGACTGTCCCTGCGCGCGCCCCTCAAGAGGTGACTCCGCGCGCGGGGCCCTCGGCGCGCCGGTCCTCGCCGCCGCAGCTCTCCACGAAGCGCGCGAGCCCAGAGAGGGTCATCTCCGACAGCAGGAGCTCCAGAGGGACCTCTCGCCCGCCGAGCAGCTCCGCCGACACGGCCTCCGCGAGCCGCACCGCGCTCATGGAATCCACGCCCAGCGCCGCCAGCTCCACGTCTGGGTCCCCGGCAGCCTGCCCGACCACGTCCACGCCTGTGGCAGCGGCCACCAGCGCGGACAGGCGCGCCACGGGGCTGGCCGCCAGCTCGCGAAGCACGGCGCCGGGCGCGGGGCCGCTTTCCTTCCGGCCTGCCTCCGCGCTGGCAGCGGCCCTGGCCGCTGCCAGCGCGCCGCGGTCCACCTTCCCTGAGGCCGTCAGCGGCAAGCTGGGCAAGAAGACGACGTGCCGGGGAACCATGTACGCCGGCAACGTCGAGGCAGCATGAGACCGGAGCCCCGGCTGGGTTGCAGGGAACACCCCGCGCACTGGACCGCCCCTGCCTCCGACGCCACTGTCGGCGGCCTGCGGGCCCGACGCGCCTTGCCCCCGCGGGTGTTCCTCCTCGCGGCGGAGCACCACGAACGCTGTGAGGGATGCGCTCTCGTCGCTGCTTCTGCCGACGGACGCGTCGCCGACGACGAGCGCCGCCGCGGCGCTCGCAACCCTCGGGTGCTGCTCCAACACCGCCTCGATCTCGCCGAGCTCCACGCGGAAGCCCCGGAACTTGACCTGCTGGTCCATGCGGCCCAAGAACTCCAACGCCCCGCAGAGCAGCAGCCGCACCAAGTCGCCCGTCCGGTAGAACATGCCAGCGCCGGCGGCGCAGCCAGAAGGCGCCGCGACAGGCCCACCTCCGGGCAGCGCACCGCGCGGCAGGAAGCGCTCCGCGGAGAGCTCGGGCCGCCGGTGGTAGCCGAGCGCCACGCCGGCGCCGCCGATGAAGAGCTCCCCCTCGGCGCCGCCAGCCTCCACGGCCTCGCCCGCGGGCGCCGCGCACGGAGGGCCTTGGAGGACGAGCAGCTCCGTGTTGGACAACGGCCTGCCAATGGGCACGCTGCGGAGCTCCGCCAGACCTGGGGGCGCCGGCAGGGCGTGGGTCGTGGCCCAGATCGTCGCCTCCGTGGGGCCATACGCGTTCCAGACGCCGCCGCCAGCGCGGCCGGCCAGCGGCTCCGCGAGCGCGGGGGGGAAAGCCTCACCGCCGCAGATGGCGGCCATCTGTTGGCGGCGCGCAGAGGGGGGTGGGGGGAGGGGGGAAGGCTTCTTGGAGGGAGGCTGCTTCTGAGAAAGCGCGGGCCTTACATCCAAAGATAAGGCCCGCGCCTTCAAAGAAGCAGGGATGCTTCAAAGAAGCCTTCCCCCCTTCCCCTACCCCCCTCTGCGCGTGGCTGAGCCTGGCCCTGGCCACACCAGCCTGCGCTGACGAGGGAGCGCCACGTCGCGGGAGTGCCCTGCAGCACTCGCGGCTGCAGCCGCCGCACCAGTGCGAGGAGGCGGGGGCCGCTCCTGGACGTGCCGGCGCCGGCGAGGAAGAGGGTGAAGCCGAAGCAGAGGGGCCAGAAGATCTCCAGCACGGAGATGTCGAAGCAGTAGGTCGTCACAGCGAGCAGAATCTCCAGCGGCTGACCATCCCTCCCTGCGGGCGGGGGTGCGCCCCCGCGGACTGCGTCATTGAAGGCGTGGAGCACGTTGAGGACCCCCCGCCTCGGCACCACGACCCCCTTGGGCACGCCGGTGCTCCCCGAAGTGTACATGAGGTACGCGGGCCTCTGGAGCTGCGCGGCGTCGGTGGGGCCCCGCGCGGCCGAGGGCGCCGCGGAGCCCCGGCAGGCGTCGAGCGTGGTCGGCGCGCTCGCGCCGCCGCCCCGCCGAGCGGAGAGCACGCGGCCCCCAACGGCAGTCACCCGCACCAAGCGGCCCTCAGGGAGCAGGCCGCGGCGCCGGGCGCACCAGCAGGTGACCAGCAGAGGGGCCCCCGAGTCCTCCAGCACGAAGCGCAGCCGCGCCCCGGGGTGCGTGGGCTCCAGGGGCACGTAGGCCCGGCCGGCCGCCAGCACGCCCAGCATCGCCACGACGAGGGCGGGCGTCCGCTGCAGGCAGATGGCCACAAAGGCCGCGCCGACGGCCTCGCCTCCTGCGGCCCTCGTCCGGATCTCCGCTGCGAGCGCCCAGGCCCGCTCCCGCAGCGTGGCGAAGCTGAGGGCGCACTCGTCGAGGGAATCTTCGGCCTCTTCCTCCGGCTCCCGCTGGCCGTCCTCCAGGGGCTCCGTCTCGACCGCCAGGCGCAGCGGGCTCCCAGCGGCCTGCTCGACGAAGAGTTCGTGAATGTCGGCGGCGGGCGGGACCGCGCGCGGGCCCAGCAGGGGCGGCAGCCAGGAAGCGGCTGGCTCCGGCAGCATGGCTCCGAGGGCGGCTTGGGCTTGAGTCAAAATTGCAACGGACAGCCCCTCGGAAATTTTGGGGCGCTCGCGCGTCGGAAGCCAGTTCGCAGTCAGTTATGGTACCTTCGCGCTCCCAAGACCACAACTCATCGTAAGTCCACGACAGGCTCGCACTTCCGAGCCCAGAATATTTTGCACATTGCTACAAAGTCGCGCCCCCGAGGCCACGACCCCACCCCACGGAGGCTGTCAAAAGCGAGCCGTCTCCAGGGCAGGAAAACTGGCATTCCGCTTTTGGGATATGTGTTTTCGGGGGCGTTTTTCGCCTCCACGGCATTCCCTGAACATGCGGCCCTGGACCCGAGGCCACGAATCCGTCAACATAGCGAGGGACGCGCGCCCCCGAAACCGCGAACCCTCGTAAGTTACATAGGAAGCGCGCTGTGGAGGCCACCATTTCTGATCAACCAAGAGGTACGAGAAGACGCGCACAACCAGCCAGCCAGCAGCACGCCAGAACTGAACCAACTGTCAATCATCTGCTTGAAACTTTGAGCCCCGGGGGGAGGGAGAAGGGGCGGGCCTTCTCGGAAGGTTCGGAAGTCCTGCGGCCTTCTGAACAAATTTCGAAGCCCTCCCCGAAGATACAAAACACTTTTCAGAAGGCTGGCGGGCTGCTGAAAAGCCCCGTCGCCTTCTGAGAAGGCCTTCACCTTCTCACTTCCCCCTTTCGCCTGCCGCTGGTAAACAGCAGGCCAATCAGCCGAATTGCCACCCAGCCAACCGACAAGCCAGCAAAACAACCGACCAAACGAACGTGGCCATACAAGCAATCAGAGGGAGGCCGGCGGCAGAGGGCCAAGTCCTTCATGCGTGTGTGTATGAAGGTTCAGATGTACAGAGAAAGAAAAAGAGCGAGAGAGAGAGAAACCAATACATAAAACCCCAAAGAGAAAGAGAGAGAGAGAGAAGGAGCGGGAGAGGCAACATAAAGGGATAGCACCCGACATGCTTTATATACAGGTGTATACATATATATATATACACACATACATATCTATATACACACCGTGTATGCGTCTGTCCATACATGTGAAACTGTATATGTATATGTATATGCATATGTATATGTATATATATATACATATATATATATATATCGCCCCTTAAACCAAACGTGCAAGAGCTCGAAGAACTGGCGGATAGACCGCACTGACGAGCCAGACTTCTTGCACACTCTATCTGAAACAACAGCTTACTGAACGCACAGGCCTGGCGCGCACCGGGTCATATTCGATGGGGACAGGTGCGACGGACAGTTAAAGACATCACAGAGCCATACTGTGTTCGGGAACCGCAAATCCATGATACAAGTCTAGGACCCCGCAACAGTAAAGAGACGAGACAAACGCTGCCCGTTAGACGATCGAAGAAGCCATGCAGCCATGGTGGACGCCGTTCTAGCAAGATATTGGGCGGCCGCGGTGGTCGAGAACGAAGCGCTGTTGACCCGAGAAGCAGCACACACCATGCCTACGACACAGACGATTGACGCAAGGGAAGCTCGGCTTCCACCAGCCCACGAGCTGAGGCCTCTTCCTCCAGCAAGTGCCGAACGAGCATCGATCAAAAACCAACTCGTGCACCCGACTGTGGCCCCGCAGCTTAAGCATGCATGGCTCTTTCCAGGCCAAGGGCGAATGCGGGTTCTCACAGATCATAGTGCACGAAGCTGGATGGAGGCAAGGATGAAACGCCGAGTGGAAGCTAGGGTCCAACTTCCTGCGCGCAGCCGGTCGGCCTGGGCAGGGGTCGGGTTCGGGATCCCGCGCAAACACCACGGGCGCCTGATTTTGCAAAAATGACAGTTGGACCAGGACGCACAAGAAAAAACACTAGATGCCCATGACGAGCCCAGCAGGGACCCAGCCCAGGACCACATTCAAAACCACGCGGTTCGTGACATCGAACTCGGGTTCCTCTAGACTACCGAAGCTACTCCGGACTCCGGACTCCTAGCTTGACAAATGCTTTGAAGATGAGGGAGTAGCCACAGAAGATATCGAGAACAAATTGTCCGTCAGGTGGGAGGCGACGGGCCTCGCGAAGGCGCCGTTGCAATCGACTCTGTAACTCATTTGCTGGGAGATGCCAGACAGCAGCACCCACGGCGCCCACGTTGTGATCTGGCCTCAGGCGCGCCCGCGCCGCCGACCGCTGGATCGCTTGAGCTTGAGCTGGGTGCCCCTCAGGTTGGGCGGCGACGGAGTCGGAGGCGCGCGGACACCTCGCAAGATGCGGTCGAGGCGCTCGGCGATGTTCAGGCCGTATTCGCGAGCAGCCAGGGTCATGTTAAAGGCCTGCTTCAGCGCGCGGGCGTGCTTCTCGTGGCGGCGGAGCCAAGCCTCGGCTCGCCGCCTGCCCCTGCGCTTGATTTCCTCGAGCGCCCGCGCGTTCCTGAGCGCATCGTCGGGCGCGCCCCCGCGCCTCAGCATGCGCGGGCGCGGCCGGGGCCCGGCCGGGTCGCCCTGCTCGGCCATCCGCGCGAACATCGGGGAGAAGCTCTTGTAATCGAAGGATCACAGGCACTCGTTCTGGGGGCCTTTCCTGGCCTGGAGGAAGATGTCCAGGATGGGGCGCGGCCCAACTCGGGCGCGTCCAGCGGCGAGCTCTTGCCGAACGCGCGAGTCTACGACGGCGCGGACAGCTCTGGGGGGGCAAGCAGCAAGGCCCAGTGCGCCGCCCCGGCCCTTGGGCGCGGCTGCACAACTTGGCCCGCCGGAAGCGTGAACCACTCGTTCGGGCGCAGGTAGGTCCGGAACATGAGCACCGAGCCGAAGGCTAACTCCCGCAAGCCCAGCGCTATCGCACAACCCACCACGTTGCAAAGCGACAGCCAAGGATATGGTGCGCGACTGAATCCAGGCAGCAGACGACGAAAACCACGCAGGGCGTTCTTCGCCCGCGGGAGCATCGACCCGCGTGCTCGGGGATGCGGAACTCCACGCTGGCTAAGCACCTTCTCGCCCGCGTCGTGGCTGTGGCCCTTGAAGTGTAGATTCTCGAAGTGCTCGACGAGCGCTGCGTCGATCTCAGCGGCCGCGCTGAGCGAGATGGCGTTGTCCCTCGCGGACCTGCGGAAGTCGCCGAAGCACCAATCGGAAAGCGTCGCTAGGAGCCTTCTCAGCTGGTTGATCTCCATGAAATAGACTCCCAAGTCGTCGCAGATCATCGCCTGGCTGCCGTGCTCCTGGAGGCGGCGCCTGACCCTCGCCAAGCGCTGCTGCGTCGGCGGCAGCGGAAGCCCCGCGGCCTCCAGCGGCCGCTTCAACGGCAGCGGCCCAGCGGTCGCCAGGCTGCCCCGCGCGCTCCCTCTGAGTCGTCGCCACTGCCGCTCGAGGACGCGACAGAATACCGGTCGCAGCTGTCGTCGACAAAGTGCCCAGAGAGGTCGAGCGGCGGAGCAAGCCAGGAGGGCGCTCGCGCCTGGGCCCCGCCCCCGTCAGTGGGGCCCCGGCGCCGGAACTCCTCTTGGGCGAGGGCCTCAACTGCAGCTCGGAGCGCGCGGAAGGCGCTCGTCCTCGGGGCGCGGCTGGCCCGCGCGAGCATTGCGAGGATCGCGTCGCCCCTGGCGCACAGCAGCACCCGCGGGCCGAGATGGCCCGTCGGCGGGTTTGAACTCGCCGGGGGGCCATCTACAACTGACGCAGGTGACGATTGATGCCGGCACTGGTGGCCCCCCATCCCCTGCGCCAGGATTAAAACGATATTGTCGCCAACGTTCACGTGGCGATCATTCGATCGAAGAGCGCGTCGAGCCGAAATCACCGTGGCGGCCCCCCCCGTTGACGCGATTGCCTCGGCGCGGCACCACTGGCCCCTCACCCGCAGCTGCCGCGAATCGAGGTCGGCGAACGCGACAGGCAGGTCGGCGCCGCCGCAGCGGGCGGCGGCCCTCGCAGCCTCGGGCTCGGGGCTGTCTGCGCCGAGGCCAGAGGCGCGGGCGTGCGCGGCTTCGACCACGGCGAAGCGCCCCAGCGCTCCTGCTGGCGCCCCCACGCCCGCGCCCGGGCCGGCCCGAGGTCCTCGCGGACCACGCGGAAACCCCCGCTGTCGACCGGGTTTGGCGCATCGGAGTCCGACGCCGCGACGAAGCCCGACCACGGCCGCTTCGCGTCTGCGTAGGCCAGCGGGGCAGAGACACCATCCAGCCCAACTCGCGGCGGACTGGGCCCACGGCGGCACTCGCTCGCCCCATGCCTTCTCAATGAACTGGCAGGAGGCATGGGGCAGCGAGAGCAAGCACCTGCGCATAGGATGGCACGCCAGATGTAGCGAATAGCGAGCGCAGCTCGGGCCCACCGGCGCGCCCAACGGCCAGCGCGCGCGACGGCGCGAACCCGACCTTCCAACGCCTGGTGCGTCCCGCTGTGATCCTGCCAGACGCGCGGCGAAGGTTGCGCCCCGTGAAGCGCGCGACGCCAGGCCCGTGCTCGATGGACTTGCAATCTAACCCGTCCGACGCGAGCTGCTCGAAGATGGCGTCGGCTGCGACCGCGGCTCGGTCCTCGCGCGCGCCCGCTACGCCGGCGTTGCAGAGGTCGGAGGCTGGCCACTTGCCCAAGGAGAACTGCTCGGTTGCGGCGCCAACCTCCCGAGCGGAGGCGGCCGCCATTCTGCCGGCAGAAGACAGCGCCCAGGACCAGCCTATGGCCATGACCTCGAGGCGCGGACTGGGCCACTCGGCCGAGCCCGGGCCCAGACCGGGGGAAAGCTCGCGCAAAAGCCGACCTGGGACACGACGTAGAACATAATGATCTGAGGCCAAAGGTGGCGCACGTATGCGACATAATACACTTTCACCATCCATTGGTGGGAAGACGAGCTTGTCCTCCGGCTGCAACTCGACACTGGCCCGCGCTCCTGGCGCGGGCAAAGCCGCGCGCTCGGCGCCCGTGAACTGGGCGTTCGCCGGCCTCGCGCCGAGAGTCACCAACTGCATGCCGTTGCTCTTGCGCGCGAAAGAGATGCCCGCCGCGGGGGGCCACGC